CGGAGCACAATACACAAGTCGGAGGCTCTGATATGGGCTTAGGACAGACTTTAGTGTCATGATTTTGTGTGCATTTTACACAACGAAAGTCGTTGTGACAGTAGGACCTGGTGTGGCCATACTGTTGACAACGTTTACATTGAACAACTTCTTTTTTCTTTCTAGGTGGTTCAAATGAAACCTTAGCATTTAACAAAAACTGGATCTGAAATATATCCTTGTTTTGAGCGTTAGGTTCCAAATCTACAAAGAAAATAGACATGGGTTTCTTAGTGAATCTATTTTTAAGATTAGTAAGGTTTCTTACCACATGTCCTTTTTCTTCGATTGCAGCTTTAATGTCATCAACACTTGTTGAGTAGTGCATGTCCTTCAAAACAACGCTGTAAGCTCGTTCTTGCTTAAGCTGGTAGGTGTGGAAGCTTACGTTCAATTCCCTTAGACCTTTTACAATTTTTCTGTAATCATCAGATGACGATGGAAACAGTTTGATTCTATCTTGACCAAGACACTTGTATGTATATCCAGTATTGGTAACCAAGGCATCCAAAGCTCTGACCATTGGTCCAATATTTGTTACACCGGGAAGGAAGATTGGTGGAGGTTTGGCCTCCTGCTTAGTCGTCTGCCGTGCCGGCACTTCATCGTCCATTTGGTCGTCATCCTTTGAGTAAAGAGGGTCATAGCTGTTTCGAAGGGGGATGGAGTCTATATGATTTATTACACGATGACGTTTTTGCACATGATCTGGGGATGAAGCAATATTTCTCTTGACATTTCTTGATTGGACAATTTGCCAGGAATCATTGGTATTACCTTTATCCAACTCATTAGCGTCAGAGAGATTTTGTTCGTTTGAACTTTCCTTGGACAAGGATGAGCTAGGCCGATAGTAATCATGTTCACGTGTGTGAAAGCTTGTTGCCATGGTAACAAAATTAAATAACTAACCTAAGAAACAAACTGGACAGTCACTAACTGAATTAGTTTATAAATGTACGATTTCACAAAAAACACACGAACCTTTAGTATTTACATATTGAAACGGATATAAACAATTGTTTTAACACAAAAAACTAGTTACTTTTTAAAGCAAATCGTAAGAAAAATCAAAAAATATCACTAAGAAAATGCACATACATGTTTGCTTAAGTTCATCAGCTGAATCATGTGTCAAATACTGCTTCCATAAGGATTAATTGAAACTTTGAGACCCAGTGGGGTGGATTCCTGAGAGACTTTTTTAACGCCATATAGATGTTGGCACTCACCAATATGGTCTTTATCACCATGCAAAATTTGAAAACCATTGATTCAGCCGTCTAGGAGGAGATTGCGTATACATAAAAGTCGACGTATAAGAGCTTCGCTCGCTCCTTTCAATTAAATTTACAAGGATTACCAACAGGGTGCAGCACTATTTTTTTTATTTTTTTTATTTATGACAACAGCTAATTTCCAACCAAAAGGTGAGTGAGCGTAGCGAACGAACTTCAACCAGGACGTGAATGAGCCATGCGAATACTTATGAAGTTAAACGGGGCAAAGCCCGCGGGTACAGCTAGTGGTATAATATGTATAAAATGTAAGTTATGGTATATGTATAAAAACGGTCCGTGCCCGCCAATTCAATTGGCGGGCATGGACCTTCGTTCCACCACACAGCGCGCTATCCAGTAGAGTTATTATACATCGATGGTCAGTGAGGGCTTTGCCTTTTGTATATTTAGATACTAAAAAAACTTTTGCAAAACTAATGACAGCTAGCCTGACACCATACTACTGGACCGAATTATACGTGGTTGGTACCAAATGAAAGATATTTATCTGTAGACGTGCAGAAATTAAATTAAAATTTAACTAAGGTACAAAATTATAAAGTGCGTATTGCAGTTATACTATATGAAATTTAAAGTTCTCACCAATCTTCAATCTACTATAAGTATTTTGTCTTAAGAGGGTTTGGTCCAGAAAATGGTCAAAAATCTGGGATTTGTAAACTCAATTTTTATTTAGATTTTCCTCTACAAGAAAAACAGAACAATTTGATGTAAACATACTTATTTCATGGAGAAATAAAACATTTAAAGTTGAGCTTGCACACACAATTTTGACGAACTAATCATCTTAGGTCGGTTTTGTCAGTTTTCAGTTTTATCATAGACAAAAATAATTACGGTAAATAATGATTTTTGTCTATGTTTTTGTACAACCCATACAGTAAATGATTAAAAGCAGTCGTACTGCAGCATAGTGGCGCTCAAGTAGTTTGTCGAATTAGACCTACGAGCGCTAGTGTTGTCGTGTGCTTGCTTATAACTGCAATCCTGCAATCTACCCGTACCCGAGTACAACCCGGTCGGGGGATGGCAAGATGTACTACATCTTGGGGGGATGGTGGCGTGATAGCTCAGACGGCTGAGGCGTTGCACTGACGAGTGCAGCATTACAAGTATATAATAACTACATTTGAATATTGCGAGTAGATTTTTCACCCTATTTTAAAATCGGAGGCATGTTTGTGATGTGTAATGATAGTATGTAAGTTGCATGTTTATGTAAGCCTACAAGGCTTTGGTGGTGAGGCATTTTATATAGGGCCATAATGCCAGGGAGAAATCATTGTTTGAATAAGTAGTTAAAATTGTTAAAACTAGTGAAAAGAGTAAGAATTGTATATCAAAAAGTAAACGTAGTAAGTCACGCGGAAAGATATTTTTAAATTGTCCTCGGCCACGCACACGGATTCCGCGAGGATTTGCAAACATACAAGGGAGTCTATGAAAATCTATAGTAATTAAAATAGCTATTTGTAACAAGCCTAACCACAACAACACTTCCTTCTTTATTACATGCTGCAAGAATTCACTTAGAAACGCATTTTCTAGTCCCGTTCGTCTATTCACTAGTTATTAGAAACCTTTTGTTGACAAACGTCCAACAATACAACACGGCTGAATGGCTTGCTAATCATTGTTGTACAGAACGACCTTGTCGATTGTTGTACGGACCTAAAACACGAAACGCTTAAACGCTGGTTTGGCAACAGCTCTGCAAAACTGTCACCCGACAAAGTGGGCTTTCTTGCACGGATTACAGTACAGTTTGGCGCACACCAGTATTCCAACCAAACAACACAAAACAGCGTGCTTTTATTATGCACGTAATCCGTGTATGTTTGAAAATAAGTTTGCAACACTTAAAGATATTACGACTACGATCAGCTGGTGCAGCGTTTCCTATTTCGTTCAATTTTTGGATTTAACCTAAAAACGTGTTGTACGGTGTTTGAAAGACTAATTATTTAAATGCTCTTTAACTTTAGGAAAAATATAATGTGTACCTAAAATTTATTTATGTTGTATGATGCCTATTGTACGGCCCCAGCAGATCGTAATTGTAGCGTTGCTAAATTACTTTCAAGCGTACACGTATTACGTGCCTAAAAAAACACACTCTTTTTGTTTATGGTTGAAATACTGGAGTAAAAGTAAGTAAATACAGCTATAGGCCTAACAGTACAAGAAACCCCGCTTTGTCAGGTAACTGTAGGACAAATTATTTACTTAACACTACAAGTTCTCAAAGGTTAAGAACTGCACAACAAAAAATTTAGAATAGCCTTTAACATTTGAGTTTAAATAAAAACAAAGCAGAAGTTTTCCATTAAATCTTGAATCGTTGATTATTTAGTCAATGAGGTTATTCCACGTTGTACAGTGTATATCGCAACAAAAATCTTCAAATGTGAAGAAAATGTAAAGAAATCCAAAAATTAATAATCAAAGTGAACACGTGTTTGATAAAATAAAATAAATGAATGTATAAAAAATATAAAAAATAAGATAAATAAAATAAATATAAAACAGATGTCTTTTAATCTATGCTTTTATTATACAAATTATTATAGGCCTATTTTGTATCTGAATTTTTCTTATCATTTTTGTAACTTCATAATTTTTTAATTCCGTTCATTTTAAGTCATTCCCCATTGCTTATCATACACTTAAATTTATATAAAAATTCACAAATTTGCAATTTTTACAGTAAAATAATCGATTTCAACATTCTAAGACATAAAGAGAAAGTTTAAATACTAGATTACGTTATCCCTGATTTCAATATTGTATACAGTGCATTGCAAGAATTAAGTTAGCAATTAAGAAACCCAAATAATAATATCTATATATTAATAGACAAGAAAAATCCCTTAAACCCTTTTTTCTCAGCTCGTGTGCATCACAGGGAAATCTATGCATATTGTTAGAAAGATATAGGCTATTCCCGTAGATGTGCAGAATCTCTGTATGAATTGAAATAGGCTCAAAAATAAGCACAAAAAATGAATTCAACATAACAAAATTACATTGGCTTTATGGGTTGCCATGCCGGGTGACTGAAAAACAACGAAATATAAACAGGAACTCGAAACAAATGGAAGAAATTGGAATCCCATGTTTTATTAACAGATTGGCGTGAAAATAGAGAAGTCTGTACATTACATATTTTTGGTCGAGTTTTCAACCACTGGACGACCTCGACTTCTAGTTAATATATTATTCTACGAACAGATTATTGTATTAACAACTGGTTTATTGGATAATAAGTTGGTGTTTCAATTTTAAATAAATGTCCTTTACCTTGAGTTCAAACCAAAGGTATAACGTGATAGGTTATTGGAAGCGAGCTGGTCTGGAGCACGGGACTTCGGTCCCCAATTTACGGGTTCGAATCCCGGCAATCACGAATGGATTTCATCAAAGTGACAATGCCACAACCTCTATGCCTGAAGGAAAACTATTCAAGGTCATAGCATCCTTAGATGTTCAGGTGGGACAAAAAGTAATCCAATCACGCAAAGTATTTCGCTTTCGCACCCAGATCTGCGACTAGCGTGTTTAACGTTTCTGTGGCACTTTCTCTCTGGTCTTGTCACGGTTCAGGAAGGGTGTTAAATGACAGTGACACGTGACACGCTACACTACTGTGACACTGTGTCACTGTGACCCGCGTGGGCTGGAGCGATATGACCACTTGACCCATCCTCCTACAGTCGTCTGCCTACTGCAGCCGTGCGTGTAAGTAGCCTACACTTGTCTCAGGGGGTTTAATTATAAAATTATATATAAATGCAAATTTATAGTTGCCAATAGGATATTGTTAGGTTCTGGTGCCCTCCCTTCATTTAAGATAGTGATGGAAGTATAGCTAAAACATAGGATATTAAACAGTCAGTAACTAAATTAACTACAATTAATAAAATAAAATTGACATAAATGTTTAATTTGAGAAAAAAATTGTTTTTTTAAATGGATGGTTTAAAACCCGATGTAGTCACATAAGTAAGACTTACATTAATTTGCATGCATATGATAATAATATTGACACTTTTAAAAGTACTGTATAAACCAACTAGCAGAGTGCCCGTCCTTCATACGGGGTTGGCATGCAGTTATACTCAAGCTTTGCGTTTGCAATGAGGGAGGACATAGTTTGATAAAATTTGCTTCTTTAAATTTACAGTATTCTTTAGTATTACCATAGTATTACACATCTACCATAGCCACAATGTTCTACCACTTCCCCTAAAACAACAGAGAAAAATAAATTATCAAAAATTCGCAAAATATCACAAATTATTCATGAAATTAAAAACATAAACATAACTGTAAACAATCCTACTTTGACAGTTAGTTCTCAGCGTATCACTCACAGTTTTTTGCTGCTGCTTAGTTCAAAAATAGACAAATATAGTTCAAATATGTGTTGTTTTCATAAATGCAAAAAAATATAGTGCTGCACCCTGTTGGTAAATCTTATAACTTTTTAATGCTTTTGAATATCATAGAACCAACTTTTTTTAGTTGAAACAGCTGACTAAATTCTTTAATTCCCTTTAAATATGAATACTCATAAGGTTATAATGGGGAACTACAGAGCCACTGGGGCGGAGCCCAAAAGGAATTTTGTGATAAGAATACATCTATATTTTAATCGGGGATGTGAGCAATCGTCATGCCAAATTTTAGCCCAATCCGTCCAGTAGCTTATGCGTGATTGAACTTCAAACAAACAAACACACAAACTTTCACATTTATAATATTAGTAAGATTCACCAAAATAAACATTAGGCCTATAACAGAATACTTACTTTTTTCAGTTGTAAGTTTCTTCTTTTATGATTAAATGCTATTGGAGATTGAGGTAAAACAATTAAAGATATAGGAGCACAAAACAATAACTGAAAAAATCTTAGTAAGAACCAATAAAAATTGAAATATTCACTAAAATGTTGAAGATGTTTTAGATAGTTTTAGCGCTAGCTGCTTGTTTAAATTTTGAAGAGAATATTAAAATTTAAAAACATAGTATTTATTATTTACTATTTGTAAAGTACTTAGTAACAATCTTTCTGTATTGCAGTGACTAGGTAGATTACCTTAGTTTTCTAGGTTAGAAACAATGGTATAACATATTTTGTAAATACATATCCTGTGTGACATTTAAACAATATTTAACGTGAATACATTTTTTACAAAATTGTTCCTTCATGGGTTAAACATTATTCTTATAACTAATTAATGTAGTAATTTAGCTTTTTAACAGGCCATTTAGACATTTCCCCCCCACGCCTAAGCATTATCTTCAGATTGATCCATGAGCTAAATACATAAAGAGGAGTGTGTTAAATCTATATGAAAAGAATTAAACTGACTGTTAATGCTTTTCATGGATTTAAAATACTTTATTTATATCTACTGTATCATGTGAGGTAAAATCAGGAGTATTTGAACAGATGCGATATATAGATCATAAACATAAACAAATGACAGGAATTCTCTAATAAAACACATTAACATATGGTTTGGACTGTTCCATTTAGTAATGTTAAATAATGTTTACTTTCGGGCCAGTGACATACTTGACTCCCAGACTAATGGATATATTGACATTCAGCAGATGAGTAGAACCATTGAATTTGGATAATTAAGCATACATCCCATCTATATGGATCAGCTGTGGCAAGGTTGTGTCATATAGAACATGGTTAAATAATTTCACAGTTTTTTTCTACTGTAAATATTATATTTATTTTCATAATTTGTATTTCTTTAAGAGTTGGTTCATGCGACAAATATACTATACTCTGTATTAGTTTCTCTCTCTCTGTCACAGGCTAAAAATAAAACTTTTTGGGAATGAATAGTGTGCCTCCTTCTTGGTGTGTATCTCTAAACAAAAGTTGTACAAAGAATAATTCTAAAAATAAAACAGACATAGAGCTTGCGAAAATGAATGCCTACCATAAACATTAAACATACTCTTATATTTGTCATCCCAGTTAAAGACAATTTTATTTTTTATTGTAGGTTTCCGTATGGTATGAAGTGTATGTTTTTATGTTAAAAATTTATTTACTTAATCTCTGAACTGTTGCTTATCTCCAATCATAGCAAAAAACAAGTAACACACACACACACAGTAAAATTCATCCTAAAATCAGAATAAACATTTAGTTTACCTCAGCGTACTCAAATGTAACTCATATAAACATAGTTTCAGATTGTACAGGATGAAAAGTCTACTTGAAAATACGGTATCCAAAGTCAATAACAGTACAGTACCTGATGATATCATTATGAATTAGGTTCTCGCTGGAAAAATAATTTGTTAGCAAAAATTACTGGAAGTTCTAGTTGTACAAAATCAAATTACGTTTATCTCACAAAGTTATCCTTTAGGCTATAAATAATTGACACACATGCGAGAACACTGCCACACCCATTTCCTTCACAGTTGTGTGGGTGTTTCCACCTAAAACAAGTGAGTAGTTTGATTACTTCATTATTTTCTGAATTGAATATACTTTATTGGCATCATTAACAAAATGAGTTAGTGTTGATAAGTATTTGCCTTGGAATTGTCCTTTTCTCAATATATAATGTCAAGCACGATTTATTACAATTATTAATCATTGGGACGCCACCTAGGTGCGTATTTTGACGAAAAAATGAGTGTAGAATATGGCATGAGATGATAATTTGTGTAGCTTTGTTACCTACTGACTAAGACCGGCTGTTTCATTAGTCAGGAACATTATTAAATCCCATTGATCAAGACCAAGGACAGCTGGCTTTAGAATCGAACCATCAAAAAGTTACACTTTTTTCTCAGGATCCTTAATAATACCAAGGCGAGCACTATAACAGCTGAGCTACCCAACTATTAAGGCGATTCGTGAATAAACTAAGCTACAGACTCAATAGTTTAACAATATTTCCATACCATAAATATTCTTTGTGATCCCCACTTCATAATCAAGTATTGAGATATAAAAGTAAGTACTGTATTTTATTTTCATTTCTTATTTTGAGGTTTTTCTATTGCGAATGACAAGTTTCTTTAAAGGTACAATCACAATTACCTTGTCCTGTTGTTATCTCATGTTGACCTTTTATAAAGATTGTCACGACTGGTAGCTCAACAACAAATATATGGCGTCTGGGACTAACTATAATTACACTAGTGATCGAACCAGCAATTCCTTCAGATTTTTACTCGATTGGTTCAAGTATTTTGATTTATAAAATGAATTACTTCATTACTTGGTTACTTGGTATAGGCCTACTTAATTACATTTTTCCCAGTTGTCCATAAATCTTATGGATGAAGTTATTTTCTCTTTCACAGGAAGAAAGTGCCATAATCCAGTAAGAAAGTGATCCAGAGCCAGGAAATGAAAGTGCCATATTTGACAAAATGTTGCAGAAGATACCCACTGAAATTTGGAAGCAAAGTATTTGCATGGTACAGTATGGTAAGAAAAGTTACCATTAATTTTAATAAAACATTATTTATTATAACACTATTCAAATAAAATCAAAATATTAAGATTTTGAAGACGGTAGTTTATTTTTTTAAGTCTTATCTTCACATCCTAGAACACTAGGTTCTAGCTACTAGGCTGGAACTGTTTTACACATTACTTCAGTTATAGTTCAGGAGTGTCGAGGCATTATTATAGATAAAATCCATTGGTGATTGGCAGGATTCAAAACCAGGACCTCGGGATCCTAAACCCCCGACCCCGCGGTCTACCACTAGACCAGCTCGCTACCCTAATTTTTTAATAGTAAAAAAATGTTTCTCTAGATTAAATTACAGTAACAAAGACCCCCAAAGGGATATCTATTCTATAATATTAAAACGAAACAGTGTTTTTTATTTCACGATTCTGAATCAACCACTCGACGGATTTTCATGATTTTTATGTTGAAAGAAAGATCATTTTAAAAACTAGGGAATGTCGAAGCCATAATTTTAGTTTAAGGTCCCAGTTTTTTAGAAATTTAGTTTTAATTTTTAAAAAGTCTAGCAGCCGACGCTAAGATTCTAAACTAGCTTTTGGCATAAAATAATTTGCTTAACATAACAGCTGTAAACATTCAGCTTTTGTGTCACAAATTAAGCATTTGGATAAAAATGTAAAGACATACTTAGGGTTTACTTATTTATACTATGTGTAATGCTAATCATTGGTACGTTCAATTCTTCGGTAAGAGGATGACAGATTAATTAAATATACATAGTAAAATACTAGGATGTTCAAATTATTTTTTAAAGCAATCTTTGTAATCTTCGATTTGTTTTAGAGCAATATAATTTGTTTTAACTAACAGCTGGTTATATAAAAACTGTGGAACTATGAGGTTATTTTATTTACTCTTATTTTGTCATTGATTATAGGAAATAAGTTAGATTAGTAGACCACCGAGATAAGTAACACCATCGATGTGTACAAGTCGAGGCTCTGTACACGAGTTGAAAAAAATATATTTAAATTACTAGCTGTAACCCGCGGGCTTTGCCCCGTTTAACTTCTTAATTTTCAAGATTATCTCGTTCGCATGGCTCAATCAGGTCCTGGTTGAAGTTTGTTCGCTACGCTCACTCACCTTTAGGTTGGAGCTCGTTCGCTACGCTCACTCACCTTTAGGTTGGAGCTCGTTCGCTGCGCTCACTTGCCTTCAGGTTGAAGTTCGTTCGCTACGCTCACTCACCTTTTGGTTGCAAATTAGCTGTTGTCATAAATGTAAAAGAAATAATAGTGCTGAACCCTGTTGGTAATCCTTGTAACTTTAATGCTATTGAACATCATAGAACAGAACCAACTTGTTTAATTGAAACAGCTGATAAGATTCAATAATTCCATTTCTCATAAGGTTAACATGGGAAACTCCAGAGCCACTGGGGCGGAGCCCAAAAGGATTTTTGAAATAAGAATATGCCTATATGTTAATCGGGAATGTGAGCTATCATCATGCCAAATTTCAGCCCAATCCGACCAGTATTTTTCGCGTTCACTTGTCACAAACATACATCCATACATCCATACATCTAAACTTTCTCATTTATAATATTAGTAAGATTTTACTGCTCAACTTTTTTGGAAAGGGTAGGAAAATCACAATTTTTACATGTTTTAATTTATCTTGGCACCTTTTTGTTTACAATCAATGTTTTTGAATGCTTGAACTTTGTTTGGATTAGGCCCGGAAATATTGATGTCATAAAGATGGAGATCAAGAATCCTCAGGAATACGATTTTAAATTACCACCACAACCTCAGACGGGTTTGATCCAAAGATATACAGTTGAATGACATAGATTTAACACAACGTCATCAATGACCTAGGATACTGCAATTAGACTAACCATCTTTTTATGAAATCTAAAATGTTGTTTGGCGTGTGTTTAGTTGTAGTTACGTTTGGCGGCGCTGAATATTTTATAGTTTAAATAAATGAATATGGGGAATTACGATGTACATTGATTCAATGAGGGTGTCTTAATTATCAAGGATATTATAACTGATCATGGAATGGATAATAAACATAGACAATTAATTACGTCACTAGCATTACTAGCGTTTTTACTTTTTAAATTCCTTCAACATGTGACCAGTTCTTTTGTTCAAATGAATATTATTTTATTTTTGACTCAGCTGTTTACAAAACAAACTAATATGTTGTTGTGTTTACTTTTCTTTGTTTACACTTATTTATTTAGCAATTGGTGCAGTGAAATTGACATGAAGAATGTGCGTGGACGATTCGTTTAATGATGTCAGGACACCAACGTTATAATTATGTGTACTGTGAATTTTATTGGATGTTTTCGTTTTATTTTAGGGAGTTTCAATTCAGACCTACTGGAAATTGTGTATAGTATGAGTAATTGTATTGTGGTGATATTGATTATGGATGAGGCAGGTATGCGATGGAAGATGATATCAATGACTAGGCCTATACACTTCTCAATTGATAATTACTCTTTCTACAGTAGGCTGTAATAAAATTTGTCTTTATACGTGTAAACTAGCTGTTCTGAATTATAGGCCTACACAGTTTTAACTGACTACTCCCGTACGTAGGACGGGCTAACACCTCGTTATAATTAATTATATCTCTCTCAATCAGGTTCCAAATGTATATTTTACAACATTTTGTCCATGGATGTTGCAAGGTTATACATCGATGGTTGCACGGTTGCACCGTGTGAGGATTGCAGGGTCGCCGGAAGACTGCCCCCCGGAAAACTACCCCCCCCCAAGCAGGTTCCTACGTCATATTGACGTCAGAGACCGGGGGGGCAGTTTTCCAGTCACGGACACTCAAATTTAGTTGTCAAACAGTTCTAATCTAACCTAACCAACCAAACTTGCTGTAACATTTCGAAAATCGAAAATGTGTTATATTCACCACATGCATTTTCTATTATCCAACGGAATTACTCGAATTAAAATTAAAATTACATGATTTGTCTAGGGGGGGTAGTATTCCAGTCGCGGACACGGCTTCCATATTGGTTAGTTAGAAGATTTTGTGACGTCACGTTTCACCTGGGGGGGTAGTTTTCCGGGGGATAGTATTCCGCATCCCCGCAAAAATGACAAGAAACAACCTACTAGTGCTTTAAACTACTAGTCCAGTCAAGGAATGAGGTGTAGAGTGCGTGAGCAGGTAACTAAGAGATTCCTTCAGAAACTTGTTCAGGGGGCTTAGGGTGTTAACATACCAAAAGTCCTGACTCCTAGGTGGTGAGCCAGGGGGTGGAGGGGGGAAAAAGGGGGGGGAAAAGGTACGCATTTTGGGTTTTTTTATTATATCTCGAAAACTATCAACTTTTTGTATACTTTAGTAAATTATAAAATTGAAGAAGATTAAATTTTCTACAAGAAAAGTATATAATGTGTTTATTTTGGTTCAACAGATTACGAGTTATAACTTATTTAATTGATATCTTATTAAAATACTCCTTCCATAAGAAATACATGTAAATTAGTATGCGAAATGGGGCGAATCCTATCCGCCCAAAGGAAATATAAATGATATTCTGGAAATCTTGACAAAATTTCCAGTAATTTGACACTTTAATCATTAAAATTGATCCAAAATTAAGGCGAGGGCGAGGTAACCAAATGTCAAGTTTTGGTGTTTTTTTATTGGAAATATAAAAAAAAACCTTAAATCATCCCATTTTTAAACGCTCACCCTCGCTTTAATTTTTGACAAAATTTCATGATTTAAGTGTCAAATTACTGGAAATTTTGTCAAGATTTCCCGAATATCAGTTATATTTCCTTTGGGCGGATAGGATTCGCCCCATTTCGCATACTAATTTACATGTATTTCTTATGGAAGGAGTATTTTAATAAGATATCAATTAAATAAGTTATAACTCGTAATCTGTTGAACCAAAATAAACACATTATATACTTTTCTTGTAGAAAATTTAATCTTCTTCAATTTTATAATTTACTATAGTATACAAAAAGTTGATAGTTTTCGAGATATAATAAAAAAACCAAAATGCGTACCTTTCTCCCCCCCTTTTCCCCCCCTCCACCCACTGGCTCACCACCTAGGAGTCAGGACTTTTGGTATGTTAACACCCTAAGCCCCCTGAACAAGTTTCTGAAGGAATCGCTTAGTTACCTGCTCACGCACTCTACACCTACTTTTGGATCATTCATTGACTGGACTATACTGTACGCAAATATTCCAGCACCATATGTTCAATATTTACTTATTTAAGTACCCCCCCCCCCTAAATTTTGAAAGCCCCGAGTACTTATAGGTGTTGGTAAACATCAGACCGGAAATAAAATATGAATGTATACATCAATTTTTTAACGTAATTTGTTTTAGTAAGTTGTAGTTTGTTTTTAACGTTTTTTTCATTTGTTGTTGGGATTTTTTTTAGTTTTTTCTTCCTAGTGGAAATATACTTATAGTAGACAGACAAACAAACATTTCCTTATTCATATTATGAATGTGATCAACCAGATTGAGTGGAAAATGTGATTTCCAATATTGTTAATAAATTAAACCATGTCAAATATATTACTCTTTTTAAATCAGATATACAGTTATATGCCATACTAAAAGTATAGTAAAAAAACGACAATATATGATAAACTATGTTGAACTAGTGACTACTATTTTTTAAACTTGTTTTGTTGCAGGTTTCATCTTGTTTTGGCATTATCAACGGATTTTATGACTTGGCTGATGTATCTTACAGTGACTACCCTGAAGGTATTTAAGTTGTTATGTTAATATGGTATTTTAAAACTAATATTTAAGCTGTAAGATTAACTATCAAATGTATAATATTGAGTAACTACTGTTTTTTTGTTGTTTTTTCGGGGGGGGGGGGGGAGGTTGAAATGTGTTTACCCACACTGAGAGGCTCAATGTCCTCTCAGTAGTGCCCAAGTGCCAGATTCCTTGGGATCAATGTCCTCAGACTACCAGAAAAAACCTCATGTCCTAGGTCACTAGCCTGGAACTGTTTAGCTAAACTCCTCTTAAGCTATGCCATTGCCTCTAGGACTTTCTTTCTTATTTGCTCCTGAAGGTTAAGGCCGCTCGAGATTAACCTTAGCCCAGTATGGCCTAGGCAAACTGCTTCACAAAGTTCCAGGTGCCCTCCCCCTGGAGCATAGCTCCAACGATATTGGCAGAAGATGTGTATGCAATGCCGGGACAGTACACGGTCCGAGCTGGTCCTTACCATTCTGTGGAAAAGGCCCGGAAGTACCAGTGACCCAACAAAAACTGGGTCACGAAATACCCGACCTCACCATGCTTCCGTTCCACCCATGGTTGGATGCTGGCGGTCCAACATCCCCAAGACTTGGTGTCCCATTCACGTTGCCAGTGTTTGCACTCTTCGCTTGCAGCAATCTCCCTGCCTACTTGAGGTCTCCTGTGGTAGATCGCCCGTCTCGAGATGAAAGACAGGGATGACACCGGTGATCACCATGACTGCAAGCTCGGAGACCATGCGGCAGGCAGAGGCGACTCGCAAAGCCGGTGTAACTACATCATCTACTTCCACGGATCTCAGAAATCCTATCCATGTCTTCCCGTCCGTCTATACATTTCCTGTCCCACGGTGGTGTAACGTTCAGCTACCGATGCATCAATCGTGGAGAGAGACAGAAGACAATCTGCAAGCTATGGACTTTTTGACATCTGCACATCAAGTCCACGTGGACTGTCTCAACCAATCAGAGAAGATTAACCAACGATCACACCCTCTGACTGGCTGTCTCTATAGGCGGACGGGGGGACGTCCATTCCACCAAAAACCAACAGAAGAGCAGTCTCCAGGAAGTCTTCGGTCCGGTCACCGCGTTCGGGAGTCAAAGTTTTCGGTCGTGAGTGAAGTGTTGTTTTACCATGGCCTGTTGCCTTTAACGGCAGATTAAAAATTGTTTAGTGAATTGTCTAGTGCATCAAATCCACAAAGTATGTCAATTTTATAATTATTTAAACTAAAAATGTAAGTCATCCTGCTCGCTTACTCAGGAGAAAATAATTTAAGGCTTTAGAAGTTAGATTTCCAAATTTTAAATCAAATCTACTCAATTTACTTTCTTGAATTTGAACAATAATTAATATTTTATTATCTTGTTTTACATTTTTAATTTTATTAAACTCCAATTACCAATTTATTTGTTAGGATTAAGTATATTTACCTTATTAATTTGACTATTCACTGTGCTGGTTCATTTCTCCTTGTTTAAATTGTATTAGACTTATATATTATCATTGTATTTTGTTTGGTCGAGTTTATCAATCTTCTCCTCTTTTAAATAAATTATAAATTCATTTAGTAACTCTAGTTTTATTCTCAGTCCCGGCCCTCACGCAATAGCCAAGCGAGTCAATTAACTTTTCACCTATTAACTATTTACTACTATTAATACAAAGTCACAACACCGGTCACAAAAGACGTGCCTCTTCAGTACATGGGCCTAGGCCTCAGGATAGTACAAGAGCACCGATTGGACAGCAGACATCAGTAGGCGGCATTTGCAGGAGCGGGAACCAGCGACATTTGACATAAGCCTGCTAAGGCCTTTAGCGACTTTGTCAAGAGTTCGCTTGATCTGCTCGTAGGAGAGTTATGACTGTACTATATTCTATTTTTAAACTAGTAATAATACAATAATAATATACTTTGTTACAGTTGCTGCAGACTTAGCTAAACTGAAAATAATATTTTGCCTGTTGGATGCAATGTTTAGCACATTTCTTCTCATGGGGCTTTATATGGTGAGTTTATGAATCTATAATTCTTTTATAGTTTGAGCTACCGGTAAGTTAAATAAATGTTTTGAATATCAGGCCAATAAATTAATGGTAAGGCTCATATGGCTGTGAATTACGAGCTTGGTGATAAAATTAAGGAACACGGCAGCGTTCCGCCCCGCCAAGTCCCCCAGCGGTACACAGCTGCTGCAGTGTATATATACATGACGTGACAAAGTGGCTTTTTTACTGGTCTATAGCTCTGAAGAAACAAAAGCTATTAAAATAATTATTCATCTACTGGAAAGGGGCACTCATTCTCAACAAAATAAAAAAAAGAATTTAAAAAAAAAAACGGTCGTGTTTGAGCAAAGAAAATCTAGTTTGAAAGTTCACAAATTTTCCGTGTTCTCCTTCTTCTCCTTGAATGTTGACGGACCTACAGCCCAAACCACTGGCTCAATTTTAATGTTTTTTATGTTGTTTGAAAGCCCTTAACGTGTAGATGTGCCTTTTGAGGGTCTCAAGTCAGTGCGTTGACCCATAAACCCTTGACAAGCCCTCAAAGTACGATTCTGGCCCATTTAAATAACATGGGATTAAAATCAAAACAAAAGAAGGACCAGCTGCGACTAAATCTCAATTAATTTAAATGTTAGAGAAATTCATAGGAACAGCTGAAAAAATATTTTAAAACTTTTATAAAGTATTTTTTTCAGGTAGGCTATACCGAATGATTTGAACTAATTACTATCTATTAATTTGAAACTGTTTTTCTTTGTCATAGCTAAATTGAGAGAACGGCTGGGCGTAGAAGCTCGGTAGAGGTGTCTAAAGAAAGGTCTTGGTCTGTAGATGAGCCATCAAAAGAGAAACGTGGTAAATTCCCTTGGGGCTCTGCCCCAGTGGCCTTTGAATTCCCATCCCATGTTATTCTTATGGAGGAAAAACTGGGTTTTTGTCCCAGCTAATTTGAGAGAACGGCTGGGCGTAGAAACTTGATAGGGGTCTCTAAAGAAAGGTCTTTGTCTATAGATGAGCCATCAAAAGAGGACCGAGGTAAATTACCTTGGTGCTCTGCCCCAGAAGCCTTTAAAGTTGCCTCTTCAAATTTGTTTACCATATTCATAATTCTACACTACTTTTTAATGAAACAGCTGTTAATATTTAAATTGTGATTTATTGAATTTTTCAAAATGAAGTACAGTATTTGCAATGGGGTTTTCTGATTTTAAAATCGGTTTTATTCTGCATCGTGTCATGTTTTGAAATATAGTGTTCTATTACCAAATCAGCGGAAAATCCTAATATCACAGTCCCAGTCAGCACACGAGGTATTATATACATATATTTTAGGTCAATCTTGGTAAACTATGTAAAGTATATTGAAATATGTAAAATTCACATATAATTTACTCGCTGATATTTACATAGAAAATATCGTTACCTTTTGTTTTAGGTCAACATGAAATACTGTCTTAATTAATATGTGATTGATTTAAACCTATTTTCTGGCCTATTTCTCGATACATTTAATGTATACTGAATGTAACTTATTCACATCCCATATACTTTAATATTGACGTAAAATATACATATATTTACGTCAAATATACATTAACCATTTTCCTGGATTCATACCAGATAGATTTGTAAATTTTGCTCAAAGCCTTGAGAAAGAGATATTTTCACTCAGACCAAACAGTTGCTTTTAGAGAAACTTTTTCTTAGAAGAAGGGACAGTAGGAATTTACAATACAGGCAGCTAGACAAAGAACTGTAATACAAAGGGGTGGCAAGTGCGAAGGTCACTTCCACTTGTAGAATTCCTTCACCAAGCCAAGAAGTGTAGTTAGACCGAACCGGTTTGGGATTGGGGTTGGGGTTGCAGCGTTGACTTATTGGATCCCAATAAAAATATCGAAGCCAGACTGATAGATACTAGAATTATATCGATAGTCAATATCAACATCGAACTTGATAGGCTCGATATTTCTATTCGATAGCTTACTGGGCAGTTATGATTAATTTAAATTTATGTAACTACTACAGTCTAAGTTAGAAAAACTAAATAAGTTAATAATAATAATTAATAACTAATATTATTATTACTAAGGTATAACTGAAATAAATCATAAATCCTTTCTACACGGAGCATTACTGGTCTTTCGATATGCATTGAAAATCGTATTAGCACGATAGTATCGAATGGGTCGGACAGTACCGTAACGCCGACTAGGACTAGCCGTCATCCGAGGCCGCCATTGTTGTTTTTGTTTTAGTTAAGTTGTTTAGTTCTGTGTTTCTGCTGCAGTTCGAGTTCTTTACTTTATCTCTTCTTCTTTTTATTCTGTGTAGTCTCTCCTCTGCCCTCTTCGAGATCAATATTTCAATCGTTGTTTCCAAAACTTAGCTGTTAATTATTCAGTTTTTTAGTTAGTTTTAAAAGTTTATTTTACAGTTGTAACTTATTTAAGTTCAAGAATCAAGAAGTTTATTGGCCATCGGTGTTACCGTTGGTCCTAGGCCTACTTTTAAGATTTTCGCTAGATCAACCTAACTTATTTATGTTTTCAATTCATCATCAATTTTCTACAACCCTCAAAGGTAAGTGTTCTGCTTTTATTTATGGTCTAAACTTACAAATACTGGATTTTAATTAGGCTAGGCTAAGTTAAGTTACATCACAGACAATTGGATAAAGAAGATTTAAGTTACATCTTCATTTTTACTGGTCTTGGATGATATTTTCGGTAGGTGTGTATTCTTTCAAGATTTCGGTTGCACTTTAGTTTCTGTCCTACATTTACTATTATAGGACTACTAACCACGAATACTAGATCATGTTTTCTAGTACCTATTTAGGTACGGTACTACACAAATAGGTAGGCCTATTTGTGCTACCAGCTGATGAAACTGTTCTAAACTTAACTTAACCTTAACCAAACATGCAGTTAAGTACTAGGTAACTTGAGTTGAAACCGTATGTGAGTAAATGTAGGACAGAAACTAAAGTGCAGCCAAGATTTTATCAAGTAGGCCTACGATATTAACTAACTTAGGTTAGGCCTATTAATTAGCACATTAGTAAGTTACAGGGTTTTTAAATTCGCAGAGGATACGCATCCGGTAACTGGACATGGATTAGGCGTCCAGCAGTTACTGTCATAACCTAACCTAACCAACCAAACTTGCTGATAATGAAAAATGATAATGAATGAAGGTTAAATTATGTTCATAAAATAAAATTATAAATGCCAAAAATTCTAACAAAAGATGTACAGTTAATGGCATTCAAAGCAAAATCTTTGACAAAAAGTTAAAGTTACCGATGTGATTCGAACCAGGGACCTCTTGCGTTAATCAGCCTAGCACTCTATCCACTACACCACAAACACCGATGGTTGTACATCGTATCGTTGTGGTAATGGCGTTCCGGGCCCTCACAACCCTGTGACGTCAGTGCCGGACGCCTAAGTTAATCCACGTCCTGTTACTGGACGAGTATCCTCTGTGTTTTAAGTTACGCTTGATGTTTAAATTTACAGTAGGTAATGGTAATTCCCAGGCCTACACTAAGATTTTAACGCAACTAATTAGGCCTATATGCTTCCTTATGTTAAATTATCAAGAGATAAGTTAATTTTTTGGCTAAGGGTTTTTGAACTTGTCCAGTTTTTGTTAGACGGTTTGTTTATTTACAAATGACTAATAGGTAACTATACTATATGCTAATTAACTTAGGCCCATGTTATACGGACAGCAAGAACGCGACAGATAAAACGCCGACGCTGATTCACAAATTCAGTGCTGTTATACAATCAGCAATCACGCTGTGTCATCGACGCCAGGGAGCTGTTATACGAGCAGTAAACACGCCGCGACAGGCTCCGAGGGAGCCCGAAGGTCGCCGAACTGTGAATTTCCACTCCCGATAAGTCGCCTGGGAACTATCCTGTCGGAGAAGTATGGTAGGGTGAAGCACGGATCTGCTGTGTAAAAGCTGCCCGTATAACAGTAGGTACTCGCATAATTTCTGTCGCGTTTTTTCCGCCAGTTTTACCGGTCCGGTCGCGTTGTCCACGCTGACGCCAGGTTTACAGTGTCCGATGCGACAGATAAAACGTTTGTATAACTTGCACATAGTGACGTCCATTGCTCGGTAGGCTTGGCGTCTCGCGGCGAAAAATCTGTCGCGTTTTTTCTGTCCATATAACATGGGCCTTAGGCATACACAATTTCATTCAACAATTATTACAAGGAATTAAGTTAGCTTATGCATGGATAGGTATATCTGTCATAAGTAAATAAGATAAACTTAATTAATTGTGAATGCAACAAATAGGCCTAATTTAAAAAACATACCTTCTGTTGCTGTATCTAGGTTATGTTATGTTCACTCCTAGGGGCCAGTTGTGGAATCAGGTCTGGATTTACTTATTGTTTCGGGAAATAGAATGGTTATAACAGTCAAACACACCTAAGAAGGACTTAGCCGAAAGTATAAAACGATTAAATATGACTAAAAAGTTTTTTTGTTTTTGTAGATCGACTTCTTTCAAAGGATTGGGGGCGCAACAGTGGTGGACTCTGGCTGTCGAGCCCTCATCAGATCGCGGACAAACGAAGTAGATGTTAGCTTCAGTTGGGAGGGAAGGAAGGGAAAGAGGACCCTCCACAGCCTCAACTTCATAAAACACTGGAGAGTGAGTATAATAGTTGCCTACTAATAGTTACTGGAATCTAATGGAATTTAAATAATAGTCCCTGAAAAGTTATTTTACCTGGGGAGCAGTGATTAACTCTTTTGTTTGAGTTATAATTTTAAATCTATTTTTAAAAAGCTACCCAACTTAATATTTATGAACACTCTTTTTTTAAAGGTGTGTGAAATATTTTATTTATTTAAATCTAATCTGTATCTAATCATGGGGAGACTGTGGGAGAAATTTGTAAAGATGAGATGCCGTTTTTTTTTTCTAAAACTAATAGGCTAATGTTAAACGTGAATCCGTTCTATATTC